CTACCATGGACCATTCCTCCTGGCCCTCTATTGTCTTTGAGAATTATTCTCAAACTATGACTTTTCTTTATATCCCACAAATGAGTGCAATTGTTCTGTTTCTTCCTCTCCCCCAGACTCATTTCACTCAGCATGGTGTTTTCCATGTCCATTCATGTGTAAGCAAATTTCATGACTTCATTTTTCTTAATGGCTTCAGAGTATTCCATTGTGTAGATGTGCCAGAGTTTCTTTATACTTTGCTAAGTATTACAGATCATCTTGGTTCACTTTGGAGGCTATAGGAGTCCAAGGATTTATCTATTTCTTCTGGGTTCTCTTGTTTTGGGGCATAAAGATCCTCAAAGGAATGAATCTCTGATGATCCTTTGAATTTCTGTAGTTTCCGTTGTGGCAGTTTTTGGTGTGTTTTTTGTTTTTGTTTTTGTTTTGTCTTGGTTTGGTTTTTGGATTCCAGTTCATTAATCTCCGCTCTTAGTTTTATTATTTCCTTCCTCCTGCTTGCTTTTGGCTCCTTTTGTTGGTCATTTTTCAGTTTCTTCAGTTGTGAGTCAAGTTATATATGAGGGTTCTTTTTCCTTCCTGGTAATGATTGCATTAGGTATGAACTTTTCTCTTAACACCTCTTTTGCAGAATCCCACAAATTCTGGTAGTTTATGTCCTCATTCTCGTTTGTTTCTATGAATCTTTTCATTTCCTCTTTCATTTGCTCGCTGGGCTACTTTTGTTCAGTGAAGAACTAATTAATTTCCAGGTGTTTGAGTTGTTCCTCATTTTTATTTGTAATTAACTTCTTTTAGTGCATCACGGTCTTAGAAACTAGTTGATATGATTTCTATGCTTTTGACTTTTTATAGGTATGTTTTGTGTTCCAGCATGTGGTCTATCATGGATAATGTGCATTAGAGAAGAATGTATATTCATCTTTTTGGAGATTAAATGTCCTATACACATCTACTAAAACCCCACTCTTCCACTTCTTCCTTCAAATAAGGAAACATTACTGAGCTTTAGTCTGGTTGATATATCAAGAAATGACAGAGTGGTTTTGAAGTCTCCAACTACTATTGTGTTGCTATCAATGTCTTTCTTGAAGTATATTAGCAATTGTTTTAAGTATTTTTCTGGTATCGTATTAGTGCATATACATTTAGGAGTGTGAGTTCTTTCTGGTGCAGATCCCTTGATCATTAAGAAATGACCTTTGCTGTCTCTTATATACACTTTCAGCCTGAAGTCTATGTCCTTTGATACTAGTGTGGTCACCCTCACCTTTTTGATAGGGATGTTTGCTTGAAGAAATGTTCTCCAGGCTTTTATTTTGAGTCTGTGTTTGCTCTAACTTTTCAAATGAGTTTTTTGAAGGCAGCTGGCTGTTGGGCTCAGCTTCCTGCCACTCTGTGTTTCTTAGTTGTACATTTAGCCCATTGACATTGAGAGAGATTATTTCATGGAATTTTGTGCCATCTTTTCTATTATATTTGTGGGAGTCATCTTGTCTTAAAGAAACCCCTTTAGTTTTTCTTATATAAATGGTTTTGAATCTATGAAGTTACTGAGCTGTTTGTCTAAGAAGTATTGTATTGTTCCTTCAAATCTGAATTAGAGTCTGACTCAGTAAAGTATTCTTGGTGAGGAGTTCACTGCTTTGAGCTTTTTCTCTACATCCCATCACTATTTTCAGGCCTGACCTAGAAGTTTTTATTTGATAAATCTGCTGTAAATCTTAATGAAGCTCCTTTGTATATTATTTCCTTCTTCAATCTTGATGCTTTCAATATTCTATCTCAAGTTTTCATCATTCTGACTAGAATGTGTCTTGGAGTATTTTTATTTGGATTTCCTTGAGCTAATAATATTAAAAGTCTCCTGGATATGGGTGCATGCACTCTGCACCTCTGGGAACTTTCCCACAATGATGTCATTGACTGTTGCATCTTCACCAGAATTGCCTTCCTGGCCCTCTGGGACCTCAATGATTCTTAAGCTGTTCCTACTGAATTCATCCCAAAGTTCTCTTGTCAGCTGTTCATTTATTTGAGACTTTTACATCTTAAGGAAGGATACAAAATCAGTAAGAAGAAACTCATGCCAATTCTATCGACCGACATGGCATAGAAGAGAGAGGAACTAAAACAATCCTGTTCACAACTGCACCCTCCAAAATCCAGTATATGAAATCAACTTTACAAAGGAGGGGAGGGGCTGGAGTGATAGTACAGCGAGCAGAGAGCTTGCAAAATATAAATGTGGATCCCTATTTCACATCACTCACAAAAATATTAAAAAATACAAATGAAGTTCCATATGACCCAGGAATTTCACATCTTTGTAACTAATCCTCCAAAAAAAAAACCCAGCAATTAAATAAGATATATGTTACAATGTTCTTATATGTAGTATATGGAGAGTATCAAGGGTATAAATATTTGACACAAAATGCTGGGCACTAGATTATAGAAGTGAGAAGTACAGGTTAAGAAGGTGTGAGTGGGGACAAAGATGTAGTTGACAAGAAGTAATCCATGGGCCTTAGTGGAGGATCTTGGTCTCTTTGGTGGTGGAGGTGAGGTGAGGTAATTGTTTATTGTACCAGGAAGAAATATAACATGTTACTATATGCCTACACATATATATGGGTGTTTCCTTGAATGGTTGCAACCCCCTGAACATGTTCACCGCTGTGAAGACTAATGCCCTAATGCATTCTTGGTACTTCATCTGAGCTAGAAAGGACACACTGACCAGCCTGTTGAGAATAGTGTCTTAGGTAAATAATACCTAGCCCACCACAACCTGTTTGGACTTCATTCTTTTCCAAAGTCAGTATGAATGATTTAAACATAAGTATTGTCACTTAGACATGACCATATACAGTAAATCACGTGGTCACAAAATTTATGTATCTTAACTCAGGAAAATCCACATTCTGTGAGCACTTAAAATGGATCAACATGGCAAAGTGTACAATGCTCCAGTGCTTGATTTTGATAAACAGGGCAAAACTTTAGGTGCCCAGATATCTGTCTTTGGTAAACATGGTAATATTAGATGGTCTGATGTTTGAGTTTGACAAACATAGCAGAATTTTAGATGTTCTGATATCTGACTTTAACGAACATGGCAAAAGAGTAGATGGTCTGATATCATATTTCCATAAACATGTCAGAAGGTTAGATATCCAATATCTAACTTGAATGGCAAAGTGATTTATTTTGACTTCTAATGGTTTTTTTTGGGGGGGTGAGGGAGACTCACACCCAGCAATGCTCAGGGGTCACTCCTGTCTCTGTACTCAGGAATTACTCCTGGTGGTGCTCAGGAGACCCTATGAGATGTGGGGAATAGAACTCAGGTTGGTCAAATGCAAGGCAAACACCCTACCTGCTGTACTGAGTTTTATAGTACATATTATATGCCCCAAATGCTCTTAATGTTTATGTTATCATTTTTAACATTTCATAGCTGACATTTACTGTCACTTAACATACTGCACAATTTCCAGTATTTTTCACTTATGTTCACATGAATTCTCTGATATAGGCCCCATTATAATCTCACTTATTTTGCACATAAAGAACCCAAGACTGAAGAGCACCTTGCTGAAGGCACACAGTTAGAAAGTGTCAGTGCGGATAATGAACCCAGAGAATCTATACACAGAGTTCAGATCAACCAAATACAGTCTCTATTTTTAATACCTTACTAAGAATTCAAATCAGCATATATTATTGTTTTGAATTCTGGTTGACAGTAGCATTGAACTTCTGTAACCATTTGATAATAAATAGAAAAAAATTAAACTATTTTCTTTAGAATTAAACTATGTGCCAATTACATAGATTCCCTTTTTTCACTTGAGGGAAAAATTCACAACTTTGTCTATAAAGATTTGCATATTTCCAATAGGTATATTTTACCTTCTCTTGCTCCTATAGGTTGAATAGCTAATGGCATCATGTTTTCTATGAAGTTCTGCAATCATTATAGCCAGTTATAACAGTTTTATCGTAGTTTAGGTGACATGGTTACAATAGCATTAATGTTTCTAGCTATGATCTAAAAAATATTGCAACACTACCAAATTTCCCACACCTTCTTCACCTTTAATTTTTGTTATACCTCTGTCTACAGTAATGTTGACACTTGTGGTCTTGGTGTAAACAATTACCTCACCTCACCTCCACCACCAAAGAGACCAAGATCCTCCACTAAGGCCCATGGATTACTTCTTGTCAACTACATCTTTGTCCCCACTCACACCTTCTTAACCTGTACTTCTCACTTCTATAATCTAGTGCCCAGCATTTTGTGTCAAATATTTATACCCTTGATACTCTCCATATACTACATATAAGAACATTGTAACATATATCTTATTTAATTGCTGGGGTTTTTTTTTTGGAGGATTAGTTACAAAGATGTGAAATTCCTGGGTCATATGGAACTTCATTTGTATTTTTTAATATTTTTGTGAGTGATGTGAAATAGGGATCCACATTTATATTTTGCAAGCTCTCTGCTCGCTGTACTATCACTCCAGCCCCTCCCCTCCTTTGTAAAGTTGATTTCATATACTGGATTTTGGAGGGTGCAGTTGTGAACAGGATTGTTTTAGTTCCTCTCTCTTCTATGCCATGTCGGTCGATAGAATTGGCATGAGTTTCTTCTTACTGATTTTGTATCCTTCCTCAAGTCTGGGGACCTGCATCAATTTCCTCATCATACATGCAAAAAGTTCAACCTCAGAAATCATTCCAAAAACAGGTGCAGACCCCACCAATAACTATCATTCAGAACTTTGATGAAGGTTTTAGAGACCGTGATAATAGGGCATGATGCCAACTCTGAATGAGAAAGAGAGGGCTGGAAGCCAAGTCTTCTGACCTACACATGTCACGTGGGGAGGACAAGGAGACTCTAGGTACAAATATCCCCTGGGCAGCCCCGGCTTCTGAATGCGGTTCAGACTTTCTCGTCACTCACTACGAGTTGTCAACTCCAACAAGCTAAACCATGAAGCTGTGCCTGTCTGTTCTGCTGATCACGATGGCACTTTGCTACTCTTTGGGTGAGTGTCATTTCCTCTCAGACTGGTAACATTCCTGCTGATTAGTGGTCAGTGACTAGGCAGATTATTTAAGGGGTGATGAGCACCTTAGACTAAACCTTTTCATCTATTTGGGAACTAGCCAACAAAGACAGGTTTATGTCCTAACTTCTAAAACTCCAAATTTTCTAGCAAAAATAAAAGGAGTGATGATGAGTCTTAAGAAGAATTCTCCCCCATGAAAACATGCTCATAATCTATAACATATTACAGAAGCAGACCTAATCAGATTTGGATGACTCATGCCATTCATTAGTCCCTTGACCTTGGACCAGGACTTCATTTCACGATGATCCCCAAAAGTGGTGGAGGGAAACTAAGTCTGTCAGGGTCTGCTCTAGGAATCCAGCGGATATCGGAATTTGTCACACTTTCTCTCTCCAGGATATTTAGGTGCCAGATGAATCCACACCTCTTCAACCTGTAATCTCAGTCCATAGATATGATCTGTACATAGGGTTTGGGAGAGTCCTAGTTCCAAGATGCCAATGTTCTATGACTTTCTGATAATAGATCTTCAAATGTGCTCTAAAGATAAGCAGTCCTCAGTAAGACTACAAGGACTATGCATTTTTTTAATTTATTTATTTTATGGGCTGGAGCGGTAGGGCATTTGCCTAGCATGCAGCCGGCCCAGCCAGCCCAAGTTCAATTCCTCCACCCCTCTCGGAGATCTTGGCAAGCTACCGAGAGTATCTTGCCCACACGGCAAAGCCTGGCAAGCTACCCATGACGTATTCGATATACCAAGCACAGTAACAACAAAGTCTCACAATGGAGACGTTACTGGGCCTGCTCGAGCAAATCGATGAACAATGGGAGGACAGTGCTACAGACAGTGCTATTTGCTATTTACTTTATAAAGTAGTTTACAATGTTTGATTACATTTAATATTCAAACATCAACTCCACCAACATTACACCTTCCCACCACCATATTTTGGGTGTTTTCATAGCACAGCGGGTAGGGCGTTCGCCTTACAAGCGGCCAACATGGCCGACCCGAGTTCGATTCCTCCGCCCCTCTCGGAGAGCCCGGCAAGCTACCGAGAGTATTCGATATGCCAGACACAGTAACAACAAAGTCTCCAGTGGAGACGTTACTGGGCCCGCTCGAGCAAATCGACGATCAACGGGAGGGCCTTTACCTTTACCTTTACCTTCATCCCAAACCCTAATCCCTCTCCCAAAACAGAACCAAAATAATATAATATTTCCCTCTAAGATTGGTCACCTCCTCCCAGAGGCTTTTGGCAGAAATGCGTTGAACCCCACAGTAGGTTACTGTTGCCAGGCCACCCCCGGTGGAACGGGTGCTGTCCCTCCGCCTGCTCCCCCTTGGCGGCTCGGTGGCCATCATCCTCCAGAGGCCATTGAACAGTCAGGTCTGGGCCCACAGTGACAAAACTTGTTGGGCCTCACAGGATGGGGGTGGAGCCGGGCCTGGTCTCCCCATCCCAATGAAACCCCAAGTCATCGCCCATGAATGGCCTCTCTGGCTCCTGATCAAGCTGCTCAACAGCCATGATCCCAGAGACTCAAGAGCAAATCTCGAAACCCAGTGGCTTTTGGCAGAAATCCCTCCAGATTTAAGTGTAAAAATTTCAGAATTTCAAAATCACATGGCTCTACTGCAGCCACGCAACATCATATGTTATTCATAACCAGCAATAGAACACAAATTGTCTACTGTTGCCTTTTCAGCAGATCTGAGTGTTGGGGTAAAATCTCAAATAATAATGGTGGGTCTGGTGTCAAGATATTGAATGTGATCAAAGTAGAGAGAGAGTAATGTGGAAATCATCTGCCCCACAGGTAGGGGGAGGGTGTGGGATAGGGGTATACTGGGGTTGTTGGGGGTGTAGAATGGGCACTGATGAAGGTATGAGTGTTTCATTGTACTACCGAGACTTAGACCCAAAAGCTTTGTAACTGCTCTCATGGTGATTCAATAAATAAAATTATAAAAAATGAAAAAAAAAAAGTAAGATGGAGTTCATGCCCAATTTAATGAGCTAATCAGTGGCTGAATAAATAGCAGTACTCCTACATAAAAAAAAAATTGCTTGCCTCCTACTTTGAACTCCCTCAAATGTGGTGTGGTATTCTTGGAGTAAGGGTAGGGTGTCCTATAAAGTATCGTGTGGCTGCAAATGTGGCTGCGTGGTTCAGAAAAAGGTTCTCTCTTGGGTGAGGCTTGGCCGGAGCATGTGGAGAGCCACCATGAACATGGTGGCGGTTGAGTTCTGGAGGTTTTCGGCTGCTAGGGCCGGGTCCCTGGGGCAGGGAGCGGTCTCCCCCGCCTCCCTCTGGGGCGCCCCAAGTGGAACAGCCTGGCGCCGGGTCCATATGGCTATGGCAGGCGTCATGTTATGCTCCCTTCCAGGAGAGAACTGATTATGCATTTTCTAACAAAATCAGCAGTACCAACAACAGTAGTGGAATTAGTTCAGTTGTTGGTGTTCTGAATTATATTTTTCTAGAATAAGTCCGATCACTCAGTGAACAATGCATTTCACTGTCCTCACTTATAAATGATGACCGAGAATTCTTGTCTCTTTCTCTTCCATCTGACTTTTCCCCCTCTTTTCAAGATTCCTATAGGATTACCTCTCCAGAGTTTGATGTTCTCTCGATAGCCAGATCACAGGCAAAGAGATTGTCAGAGCCAAAGGAGAGGCTACCTTTTCTCATACAATTTCTTTTCCAAATTCCAGACGAAGCAAGAACCGTATGTCCATCACTTGAGCAATATTTTAATGACTTCTTCCTGGGAGAAATTGAGGTCTTTAAAGTGCAGGTGGATAGCTTTCATGTTTCTAACCCAGTTGTGGAAGCCGCCTTGAAATTGAAAGAATGTCTGGATACATCTTCACCTTTGGAGAAGAGATTGCTGATGGTGAAAGCTTTGGTAATTTCTTTATTATATCTACACGGAGAGTTCTGTTCAGCTGCACAGATAGGAAAGAATTCTTGGGCTGCTCTGTGGGCACAGGTGTTACAGGTAGCAGAGACCTGCCCTGTGCTCTCTTCTAATAGGGTAGCCCATGTCCACATGGCAAGTGGGAAAATGACACCTACCTACCAACTAGCTGTGCTAAGTCTGAACAGAGCACGGGGTAGGGACCTCCTTCTTGGGTCACCACCTGACACCCTAACCCAAACTGTCTTCAGGAAGAGACAATCAGGCCCAGGTGTGATGTGGAAGGAACAAAATTCTGCTGGCCCCTGCCTGGGACTTTCAGGTGGCAAATCATTTCATTCCTGCCACAGTCACTGAGACACTCATGGGTGCTGTGGGAAAGCTAAGGGGAGGCAGGTGGCTGGAGGGAACCAGCAAGGCTTCCACTATATGAGGCTAGCAGCTGGGGACCTCCTGGCATTTGCACATGCTGCGCCCTCCATGCATCTCCCGTACTCTTCCTCCTCACCCACAACTCTTCTTAACCCATAGAGTGAACATATATACTCTCAACGTGACTCCTACAGACATAGGTGCCATTACAATGTCTACTTATGTTTTCATGACAATTTCAATGTCAGGAAAGTTCCACCTGAATATCCCCCTCTCGACGGAGGTCCTGAATTTCCTCAATTTTTCTCACCTAAGTGCCGTTAGGAGTTGTACTGCCTTGCTAAGAACTAATAGAACTGAGGGTGAAATTTTATACTTTGACGTCAGGAAACTCTAAAAGCAGTTTCATCCTCCCATTCTCTATCCCAGTCCATTTTCCTCCTCCCATCCTTGACCCAACCCATCAGTGCTGAATCCCACTTATAAATGAGAAAGAGGGTCCTCGGCAGTGGAACATCAGGCAGCTTTCACACGGTGCTCTGTCCAGTATCACTTAATTTTTTGGACTGTGAAACACTTTCATTGCATGTTCATTGGAATTATATCCAGTCTGGATACATTTTCTATGTGCTATATAGCCCATGTCAGTTCCAGTTGCCAGGGATAGTTGAAATCGTCGGTGTGAAGGAGAGTCTGTGTTAACAAGTTATCTCTGGAGAAGCTTTACTGATCTCCCCTTTATTTTTTTCCTTTCAGAACAAATTATATGAAAAATGCAAGTCAGAGAAAACAGAAGATGCCATTTCAGCTTAACCATAATCGTCTGATTTCACTGGAAAATGTAAAGGTTTCGACACTCACACCAATAAATTAATAGCCCAGCAAGTTTAGTTTCTTTGTTTTTATCCAGTAATATCAAACTTTGAATGGGGGTGGGACTTTTTGGCAAGTGTCCTTGAAGGTCATCAACTGTTAGTTCCAGAGATATAGTCTCTGGCCGCACACAAAAATAGTACGTGCTGGGATCACAAGGAATAAATTGAGTTAGGAAGCATCCATTCACTGGACTGTGGATGAAAATTATCATTGAGCATCTAAACACACCTAAAAGGGGATTCCGAGTCTGTCATTACTTTAACAATTGGAGAATTAACAAACAGAGTGACACACAGAAGACTCTCTTAGTAGGTTACTGCTAAAGACGATGTGGACTAAAGCAAAACCCAAACACTGGCATTCAGAGGTGATAATTTTAGGAATACTCTTTGATGAGTAGCACTGTAGCACTCTCTTCCCAATGTTTATCGATTTGCTTGAGCGGATCCAGTAACGTCTCCATTGTGAAACTTGTCGTTACTGTGTCTGGCATATCGAATACGTCACGGGTAGCTTGCCAGGCTTTGCTGTGCGGGTGAGATACTCTCGGTAGCTTGCCAGGCTCTCCGAGAGGGGCGGAGGAATTGAACCCAGGTCGGCCAGGCCGGCTGCATGCAAGACAAAGCCTTACAAAATTTTATTTGAGATGATGAAGTATTCTGGAAACAAACATTGTCACTATATTTAATGCCACTAAATTTCATTCTGCATGAGGGAGAAAAGGTAAGTGTTGTATTGAATATTTTAATACACACATACAAAAACACGCATACACACACACACATACATTCACTCCATAGGCCCAAATCTCTGAGAATCAGAGGGAGGGTAATTGTAACAGAATAATGAGATTGTGTCCTATCCCTCTATCCTGGAGACAAATATTTCCACAACGTTTTAACAATATCTAACACCACTGAATACTAAACTTCAAAATGGTTAAATGACAAATGTTATGTTGAATATTTTAGTACACACAGACATGAACACACACACACACACACACACACACACACACACACACACACCAGAAGCTCACCTTCCTGAGATTCAGCAGGACAGTAATTTTAAGGGAATAATGAGATCAAGTGCTGTCATCATCCAGAAGTGGCCGTATCCCCTGGTGCATTCAGGACCAAAAGTTGTTCCAGAAAAACGGACTGATAGCCAATGATAGCTCTATTGAAATCAAACAGCGTTAAATAGGAAAAGAGAAACTGTGCTACATGTGTGTGTGTGTGTGTGTGTGTGTGTGTGTGCGTGTGTGTGTGGTGGGGAATGTGGGGGGATAGAATGGGAAGCAATGCAATAAAAAATTGACAGATGGGGAATGAAGGCATAAAGGAGCAGTTAACCATAAGCACTGGGGAATTAAGAGTGACTCAGGAACACTGTAGTGGGTGTAACAATAGTTGCAAGTTGATAGGCAACTCCATTAACTTAAGCTCTCTGTGAAAGAGAAAAGACAGCCCCAAGCCACGCCTGAGCTGCTCATAACATAGAGGGACAAATGATTCAGCAAACTCAGTGAACTGATGTACAGCAATTACAGATGATGGGGAGATGGCGCCCCTTTTGGTGATGTCCTTCCCCATCTCTGGAGTGGTGTCTCCGAAGACTCTCACCTCTAAAATCCCTGGAGGATTTCTCAACAGGATGGCACCGGCCAGGTGGTTTAGAAGCACTGTCAGCAGGGGATTCCAGAAAATTCCTACTGCTCTCCCCTCATCGCCCATTCTTCACAGGACATAACTTTCCAAATTTCTGGCATTTCTGTATTTACATCATCCGTAAATGCTAACACTACAGATTTGCTTCTCAAAACATTTCTTTGTTGAAGAGACTACCATTTAATTCAAAAGTTCTATTTCAGGGAGCCAGAGAGATAGTACAGTAAGCAGGATGCTTGTCTTGCATGTGGCTGACCCAGATTTGATCCCCCATCACCTCGTATGAACAGCTTTGTAATGCTCTACCTCGTGGCGATTCAATAAAAATAAAAATTAATATTATAAATAAATGAATAATAAAAAAATAAAGAAAATGAACAAAATCTGAAGGAGACACCAAGCCGATGGAACTCCCAAGTACATTGCTCTTCAGGCTGAAAATTCTGGGCCTTCTTCATCAGCTCCACCCAGGCCCCACAGCTTCCAGCTTCACAGCCTCACAACTAATGTCCAGTAATGCCAAGCCGAGGAAGCGTCCCAATTCCACAGCTTGAGGATACTGATGATACTTCCACAATACTGACAGCCCAGCGGGTGCCCAGGAAATTCGATGGGAAAGTAGCATAGAAGCTGACTAAGCTCAATAAGCTGAAACCATGACACAGAGACTCAGCTAACAACTAACATCTCAGTAGACCCTCAATGAATTATTAAAGTCATTGTGATGGGGCTGGAGAGATAGCACAGAAGGGAGGGCATTCACCTTGCATGCGGCTGACCCGGGTTTGATTCCCAGCATCCCATCTGGTCCCCCCAAGCACCGCCAGGGGTATTTCCTGAGTGCATGAGCCATGAATAACCTGTGTGCATTGCCGGGTGTGCCCCCAAAAGCAAAAATTATGAATAAATAAATAAAGTCATTGTGATGCCCAAAAGGAGAGAGAGAAAGAGAGAAGTGCCTGCCATAGAGGCAGGTGGAGGTACAGGGTGGTGGAAGAAAAACTGGGGACACTGGTGCTGGGGAACATACGCTGGCGGAGGGATGGGTGTTGGAACACTCTAGAACTGAAACCTCATCATGAACAGCTTTGTAAGGGACTCGCAGTGATTCAATAATAAAATCTTTAAAAAATAATGTCATTGTAAGATATGACAATTTTCACAAATTCAATGCTACTATATTTTTATTATTTCACTTACCTTCCTGTTGTAACAATCAATATAAAATAAATTATTTTGTGCCTGCCAAAAGGGCAGGTTGGGGGACTGAGTGGGAAACTGGAGACAGTGGTGGAGGAAAGGTTACACTGGTGGTAGGATTGGAGTTGAAACATTGAATGCCCGCTAGAACTCTATTATGAATAATTTTGTGTGCTGCCATATTTAAATCAAGTTAGGAATAAAAACAAAACTGCAGTGGCTGGAGCGATATAGCACAAGCGGGTAGGGCATTTGCCTTGCACGCGGCCAACCGGGTTCGATTCCAAGCACCCTATATAGTCCCCTGAGCACCGCCAGGAGTAATTCCTGAGTGCAGAGTCAGGAGTAACCCCTGTGTATCGCCAGGTGTAACCACCCCCCCAAAAAAAAAACAGAACTGGAACAATAGTGCAGTGGGTAGGGCACTTGCCTGGGTTCAATCCCTGGCATCCCATATTATCCCCCAAGCACTGTCAGGAGTAATTCCTATCTGCAGAGCTAGGAGTAATCCCTGTGCATCACCAAGTGTGACCCAAAAAGGGGGGGGGGGTGGAAAAGAACTGGAACGATAGTACAATGGGTAGGACACTTGCCTTGCACACAGCTGACCTGGGTTCAATCCCTGGCATCCCATATTATACCCCAAGCACTGTCAGGAGTAATTCCTGAGTGCAGAGCCAGGAGCAACCCCTGAGCATTGCTGGGTGTGACGCAAAAAAACAACAACAAAAATAAATAAATAAATATTTTAAAAATAAACATACAGTCATTCAGTATCCATCCCACCACCAGTGTCAACCTCCCTCCACCAGTGTTCCCGTGTCCCCCCCTGCCCCCTCCACCACCACCTCCAGCCTGCGGACAGGCACATTATTATGTTTGTTTGTTGTACTTTGAATCTCATGCTTTCAGTTCTTGACTTGTCTCTGAAAGTTCTCAGGACCCTACCCAGCGCAGACAGAGGAACAGAGACAAGTGAAGAAATAGAAGTTTAATGGGGTGTCCTCCCGGGCGGCCCCTACCTGCCTCTGGTCAGGCTATAGTAGACCCATGCCCTAGGAGAGATTACGCAGAATTTTAAATTATTTGGGGTCCAATAGAACAAAGACCCGTGGGAGGATCCACTTGGTGAAGAAACATGGAATGCAGCCTGGGGGCTACTGGACTTGGGAGGGACCATAAGCCAGGTCTTTGGAGCCAGAGGGGAAGGGCGATCTTTGATTCTGGCACTGTGGCTATCTGTTCCCAAGCAAACTTGCAGCCTCCACCGATACCCAAAACCCTTGAGCTGTTCTTGTCACTTCCCATCTGCCTCTTCTCACTTCCCCACCTTGATTTCTATCCTTCACTACCCTCCTACCTACATTCTGGGGTCAACGGTGACCAAGGCACTACACACACACACACACACACTTAATACACTGCATTCCCTCATCCAGATATTCTATATACTGCCAGATAATTGACATAATCTTATTTGTCCTTCTTCTGGCTTACTTGAATTAGTATCTTCAAGTTCCATCCTCGTTGCAGTGAATTGCACAATTTTATCATTCCTCAGAGCTCCGTCACATTCTATTGTATATATCCCACATCACCATAATTAATCCATACATCTGTCATTGGACACCTCGGCTTATTCGAAATCTTAGCAACTGTGCTGCTCGCCGCAATAAATAACTGTGTGCACATGTCCTTTTGTATGAATGTCTTTCTGTCCTAGGGATAGATATCCAGAAATGGAATTGCTGGTTGGGTCTTACGTCAACTCAATTCTACAACTCAATTCTAAGTTTACTTAGAACTCACCATACTGTTTCCCATCAGGGTTCCACAAGACAACATTCCCACCAGTAGTGAGTAGGAGTTCCCTTTTCACTATAACCTCGCCAACAGATTGTTCCCACTCCTCTTGATATGTGCCATTCTCACTGGTGTGAGTTGATAGCTCATTTTCGTCTTGATGAGGATTTCCCTAGTTATAAGTAATGATGAGTATTTTCATACTGGCCATCTGCCTGTCTTCCTCAGAGAAGTGTCTGTTCATTTCCTCTCCCCATTTTTTGA